AGGCAACTCTCACGGCGCTAACCCTAATCCTACTCGCCCTAACCCGGATCGAGCCAGAGAAGTATTAGCACTCTAAACCCCGTGTAACATATATTTAATAGAATAAATTAGGTTATTAAAAAAAATTTAAACTTAGTTTTATTAGCTATAGAAACGTATTTCTTACTAAGGTTAAATTTTTACCTTATTCTTATACCTTTATTCCTAGAACTATACCTACGTTATACTACTAACCTATTAGAAAATATTATTCTACTAAAATTTATATTTTCTAGATCTATAACTCTCTATTTAGTATATTTAAGATAATTTTTAGCTTTAAAATCATTTAAAATTATTCTTTTTTAGTAACGTTATAATAATAACCTTCTACTTTTAAAATATTTTTTAAAGTTTAAATAGATATATCTAAATTATTATTTTCTAATAATCTCTTATTGTATTTTTTAGAGCTTCTAGTTAAGTCTCTACTCATAGCTCTTTTAACTCTATAAGTTACTTTAAAAACTCTAGCTTTTTTAGCTATTTTTACTATGTTTTTTAGCTTATTTTTCGTTTTAACTTAATCTATAGTATTATATATAGAAATAGAAGGCTAATTTAATATATTAATAATATATTTTGTTCTAATATTTATATTGAATAAATATTAGATTTTAAGTTTAAAATTTAAGAATTTTATAGCGATTTGACGAATTTATAGTTCTAGAATTTTTTAAAGAAAGAGTATAATATATACTTTTATCTTAATAAGCTAGATTAGTAATTCTACTTCCTTAAACTTACTCTTATTCTTACTACATTTTTAATTTAATTAAATAAAGAATAAACTTTACCTTAAACTTTAGTAATATAATCTTTATATATAAATCTATATTATATTTTTTTCTAAGTAATTTTTTATGTCTAAAAGAGAGATATTTAATCTTTAAACTTATATTTTTTTAAACCTCTACTTTAGAGATATTTTATACCTTTACTATACTAACTAAGTAGCTATAAAGCCTATCTAGATTAAACTAGATCCTCTTAGCTTTATAATAATCTAGCCTAATTAGGAATTACTCTAATATTTGTTAGGTTATACTTCTTTTAAAACTAGAAGTTTTATTAATAGTTTTTTTCTATATCACCCCTCTATATATTATATAACATTATTATCTATCTAGTCTATTTCTAATTAACCTATGAAGCTTAATAAGTTTATAATTATTATCTTCTATTTTAACTATTTAGTTTCTATCTTAAATAGTTTTAATTATAATTATATTTATTTTCTATTTTTATTATAATAATATTTTAATGAGATATTATATCTAAAATATAAATATACTTACTCGAGTTTTATTCATAATACCATTATAGAATAATGAAATTAGAAAGCTCTCTATATAATCTTGTAATTATTAAAGAAATATATAAAGTCTAGAGCCTAAATACTTTTCTAGCTTAATCTTAGTAAAATTAAGTATAATTATAGTTAGTGTAAATAAAGGTACTACATAATTTATATAAAAAAGAGTACTTAATATAACTATAAGTTTTTACTATACTTATCTATTATATAGACTAATATATAGCTATTTTACTAAATATAGAATATAAATAAGAAACTAAAACTTAAGATTACTATAATAAGAGTAATAATAAAATATATCTATTCTAATATCTTTATTACTTATATTTCTACTATTATTTTTCTTCTATTCTTCTTTCTTTTTATAGAATATCTAGAATATCCTACTTTTCTAAATTTTACTACTATTCTAAGCTTAGTAAAATATTTTATTTTAGTAGACTATCATATCACGTAATTCTAGGCTCTATAAAATATATTACCTTCTAACGTCGACCTCTATAGGCTTCTTATATTCTCGTCTCTCATTAATAAGATAATTATTCTTATTATTTAAAATAATAGTAAAAAGCTAGTATAGTCTATGTAGTTATAGATATATTACTTATATTAGCGCTATAAATATATAATAGTATTAATAGATTAATTCAGAGACTATCATTACTTAACTTTTTTTCTATCTATTTATTATATAGCGTATTAGATTAATTATCTTAGAAAAGAGTAGTAGACTATACTCTAACCTACTATTATAAGGTATTAAAAATATAACTTTATAGTTAAAATATAATCTATTAGTAATACTACTAAAAACCTCTTAATAGATATATACCTATTAGGTACGATAGCTAAAATATAGTTATAACAAACGTAGTAGAATAGTAAACTATAGTTATAATAAGAATATATAGTATAGTAAAGCTCTTCTATATCTATAAGTTAGATATATCGTCTCTTATCTATCTCTTCTATCTTATTACTACTATATATTTAATTAAACTTAAATCTAAACTTTACTCTTATTACTATTATATTAAGATTTATATTATAGCTATTATAACTTATATTTTTTTATTAAAAGCTAAATCTCTAACACTAATAGCAGATTTAGATTGCTACTTCTTTAAAAGCTTTACTAGCTATTTTCTACTAGCTATCTAGTAATATTAACGAAGATCTTAGCTACTAAATGCTAGTTAGGCTATATAAGCTATAAGTTCTTTAGCTAGTAGATAGTACTTTATATATAGATCTAACTAAGGCTTTTATTATAGATAGGTACGTACCTATAGATATTACTAATATATACTATATCTACTTAAATACTATATATATTATACGTATTATCACTTAGAACTTTTATATAGTACTTATATTTAACTTAATATTAATATTAAGTATATTTATAAGGCTATCAACGCTAGAGAACTATATAATAAGTAGAGAGAGTTTTTTGATAAAATATAGAGTAATAAGAGTAAGACGTAGATATATCTAATTCTTTAGTTCTTTAGTTAAGAGCTAGATATTTATAGAGATTAGAGATAGCGTTATAGACGTATTATTTAGATAGGCGCTGCTAGTGCGTAATAGTGCTAATAGGTGGAGCTAAGGATAGGTGCGCGCGGTTACTATTTTACTAGTTCTAATAGATCTCGGAACTTTTTTTACACAGAAGTGTCTTAGAAGACCGGAGCCAAGAGACTATTATAATCTACTATAATTAGTAATAAATTTATAAAGTTTTTTACGTAAGTGTTTTTCTAAAGGCCGGAGCCAAGAGCCTTCTATAAATAATGCTACTTCCTTCCATGTCGTAGTGTAACGGGCTGAACGCCCTTCGCCTCCCATACTCGTCTACGACCTCGTTTACTACCTGCCCAGCCCGATTGTTACCCCAGCAACCAGCATTGTATATAGATAGCCACGTAGCCGAGAAGCTTAGCTCTCTATCGAATACAATCTCTTGTTACCTAGGCCTGTCCGTTTGTGCTTCCGAGCTTAAGACTACCCCACGGGGTTGAGCCCCTTACACGTAGCACCTGACCTTCCGGGCTTTGGCTTCTCACCAGCTCCCAAAACACCCGGGCTTAACGCTACCTTGCACGGTGTAGTGTTTGCAAATCTTATGGAACAGTTGGGCTATGAGAAGTTTGCACTCTACAGTAAGTAAACCTAATTTCTAGATAAAGTCGACTGCAGAGCAATTGTGTTTCCATACCTTCCATATTTGCTGGCCATGCGTTGCTAACTCTATACAAGCACAGACCTTGGAACCTTCATCGGTCTCACAATGGTGAATATGTATGAAAACCGTATCACACACCACTTCAGCGATTTCCTTTACGTAACTCCCAACGAGAACGACCTTACGCGCTATGCTGCAAACCAGACTACACAGGAAGAGTCGGAATACATCCCATCCGTGCAAGCCTTTTTCAGCCAACACTCGGCTTATGCAGCAATCCGCTCAAGCTACCCTCTTTCCATTGCGTACGCGCTCAACGACAGTCCTGTCGGCTTTCTAGCCTGGATGTACCACCTGGTCTACAATGGCAGTGACATCGCATATACGGAGAAAAACCTCATCAGAAAAGCTTTCCTACTTTATAACCCTGGTATTTACGGAAATATAAGGAGTTACAAGGAGCTATTCGATAATTTGATATTTGTACCCGCGAAAAGATCCTCGGTGCCAATAAGCGCACTGCAATTCAAACTTCGAGACGACCCAATGTTTGCGTACCCTGAGATTAGGTACTTTGATTTTGTAGTAAGTTGGGATTTCACTGGTTCCAACCCACCGAAATGCATCGTTAGCCCTTCGATCCTATCACGCTAACATTTTGATAACCCTTAAGTTGGCTACAAAGATTTCACAACGTCACATATCTAGCACGTTACAACGAAGGTGGGCATTTCCCTGCCGAGAGCGTAGCGCATCTTTTAGTCAAGGAGATCAGGGCGATATATAACTCTTAGTCACAGAGAATCTATTAGATAAAATGGTTAAGCGATGCATCAGTACTGTGTGTCGTATTAAACCTGAACACAATACATCATGAGCTGTATTAGATAATATCCACATTGTGACAAACGTGTGGAAATTCTTTGTACCCACGTTCGGCTTACATGATGCGCGTAACACACGTATGCACTATACACTAGGGTTATGTAGCATATTAATAGAGAACTCCTGCTTCCACGACTCGTGATGCAATATAGCAATGGTAGTACTTGGGTACAATATTTATGATCAAGGAATAGAAGCAATAGGCCTAGATCCTCCTTCTCGACACCACACAAAAAAATCGTCGCACTTCTTCCCTCCCTCTCTGAACAAGTGGAAAATATAGCCCGAAACCAACAGATAGCTCTCCAGTGCACGACGAGACACGGTGCCGCATTTGAAGGGGATAAAAACCATGCCAATCCATTTCGCACACGGAGATAGCAAACAGATACCTAAGCGGCTCCTCAAAAGTGGTCTTCGACAATACTCTGAACTTGGAAAAATACGTGGCGAGAGTGACAAAACGGGAACGGAAAGGTGCACAAGCACTATCTTGATTGTCAAATGTCCACCCGGTGGCCACCAGCATCAACTACACAGCAGCAGCACGGTTCTCCGAATACCTAGACGAGATACCGGCTTGGATGTAGCACTTCCTAGGATCAATGCAACGCCTGGGTGCGAAGCTGGTCACGGACCGTTTCCGCCCGGTTTTGGAGGAAGCGGCATGTGGGGAGGCGTAGCTTTCTTCCCCTTGGTGCCGACTAAAGAGGAAAACAGCAAGATTTGGGCGGACGGCTAGTTGGCTTCAGCTGAATCTGATGAGCGACCCCGCTCCCTTTGCCCCCTTTTGGCTGCGCTAGCTACCCGTCTAACACTTACAGAATCGACAATCAGCCTCCTAAAGTGAGACGCGCAGGCAGAATGCGCCACTCAGCCGCACCGTGGCGCTGTTTACCTACCCACTAGTATAGCGTAGCCCAGTCGATAAGTAGACTGCGTCTTTGCGTTGCTGCGCGTCTTGTTTTTGTGTCCTTTTTCCTACTCACCTGGCAACATAGCGAATCTAGCACTGGATATATGTTCTGTGTACTCCTCTTTGGTTGAACCCTTCACTTTCGAATATTCTACTGTGTGTATTCCTGAAATGGCTGCCCGCCAAGAAGACTCCACCACTAAGCCACCCGTCTTCGCCGACGGCTCGGAAGCAAAGGCGCCGAGCAACGCAAATGCTACAGAGGTTATGAAATCTTTCGAAGGATTTCTCTCCTTCGTTCTCAGCCTTTCTATCTTCGGTGCATCAACTTTCGCCGTCATCGTGTCAGAAATCGCAAACCCTAGCGAGCTTGGAGCGAATCCACGCTTTGCCCGTGAAACCGTTCGAACCCTGCTTGGCATTTCCTGGTTGCTCTTCATCGTTGCGCTTTATTTGGTGGCTATGTCCATGAGCCTCCTAGCATTTCAGCGAGAGCATGCGAAGCCATCGTCCGATGGCATTGGCAAACATACATGGGAGCGCCTAGGGCTTCTGGCATCGTCTTTTATCCAGCTCTTGGTAATTGCGGCATTTTTGTTCCTTTCGCTTGTTCTTGTGGCATACACTCCAACGGTTGGATGGGTTGCAGTTGCATTCACTTCTATAGCGGCAGCCTTCGCCTTTGTATCACTCGTCGTTCAATGGATGTAAGTGTCAGTCCCTTCCATGTAGCCAAACTAACAAATTGATGTAAGCGAAATTTCTAGGCACAAGCCCGGGACGTGTTTGTAAACGAATCTGGATACATCAGCCGATATTGGAAAGTCCTTTTCATGTGTAAGCCCAGGTTTGTGACGTGGATGCGTCCGAACGCTTTATAGGCTAACGTATCGCAGAAGTGAAGGGGTCATATGTGCATGCGTTTTGAGCAGTTGCATCCATGAAGAAGAGCTATTGTCGAGGAACCTGTACTAGATCTACCACATGGTGAATAATGCACGATAGCGGGCGCCATAGGTGTGTCGGCAGGGCGGAACACATCTGCGCGTACAATGACTCCGTCGCGTAAGGAATAGAAACGTCTTGTTCAAACGCAGCGTCGATATTCCAAGCTTTGTAGTCAGGCCCTTTTTTTCTAGCCAGCATGGGAGCATAATGGTACGTGGATCAAGATCCCCGTATTGAGCTTTAGTTCCATTTATTGGGGCTGCATTATTATATAGCACAGCAATGGTTCTGATTCAGTATTCGCTTTTGTTCATTATTAGAGTTCAAATCGGAAACAAAGCTCATCGTATATCGTCGAGCGGTGGATGCAGACCAGGTTCTATGCCATTTTACTTCGCCGGGTTCAACTCTACCCCGGTACCTCAAGGCATCCTGGGTTCATGCGCGATAGTAATGATATGGAGGCGACCACACTAGATCAGCTCTTGATTTCGTCCATTTGAAGATAGGGTCGGCCATGACTCCACGACCATGTCACTGGTGCATCAGTCAGCAAACAATGATATACGAGGCGTATGTGGGGCCGCCGTAGAGCGACTGATGGCCCACCATTCCTCCGAGCACTCTATCAGCCGGCACGGGGATCGATGGGATACCGCACTGTTCATGCGAGTAGTTGCTTGCGTGGCAGCACCTTCACCGTTGACCGGAGAAGTGGATGGCGGAAAGCTAAGTACATAGTTATAACACACGCCCTTGCGTTCAATTGGTTCATGATTGGCATCGTGCAGTACCATCATTGTCAGAGGAAGATAGATATCTTTCCAAAAGGTTCATCACTAGCCATGAGTTATGGCATTCTTCAATCTCCCATGCTCTAGAACTTTATTAGCTTCCGTTGCTGTTCAATGATCGTACAGGAACAAAGATAACAAATCACCAGCGGTACCTAGTTGCCATCGTAGGATGAGGCCCTATAGGGCTTTCATCTTTTATCTTATCGTTTCTTTCTTATATCCCCACGTGATTTTCATGCGCCATCAGGGCACCTCAATTCACCCAAAAGCGTGGGGCCTAAATCAAAGAACTGGTGAAATTTTCTGCCAGATGGGAGTGGAACAGGCGATTATTGCACAAAGGACCCATCCGAAAACATGCTCCAAGACCGCAAGTTTTAAGGTCGCAAGTCTTAGTCGATATATTATGTTACCACAGATACGCCTCGGACAGATCCTTTCGCACGGTGCCAAGCAGTCGAATCCAAATTGTGTGCATTATGGCGCCGAATGACTGATATTGTAAAGTAGGATGACTACATAGGGCTAAAGATTGGATGTAGGGAAAGTCCTAGGTTGTGCGATATCATGCAGGCTTCCCATGTCATTGCGGCTGATGGCGGAAGAATGGTAACAAATATGATTAGAATTGATTTACATGGGGAGGACATAGTCGATCTGGTAAATGCATAAATTCGAAAACTGATAGTCTCTCAACACCCTGAACAAGCCTTTAGAACTTGATTCATTAACCCAGAGACAAGGTGATATAACGGAACTTGCTATATGTATCATTTTGTCTCATACCCCTAAGACTAAACGGGAAGAGCGGATGTTTGCTTGTGGCATCTACCCAGACGGCCCGAAAAAATTCGACAACGACATATTGGTCACGCAAGTAAAAAAGAGAATCAACATCCCCGACTCGCCCGTCGAAGTCTTGAGTGTGAGCCATTGGCTCGTGAAAGCTATTTCAGTTCAACGTTATCGCAGTTGAAATTGCCGCACTTTTCTTGTCGGTGACGCCACGCACCACATACCGCTCTAGGGTGCTCTTGGAGTCAACACTGGTATTCAAAATGCCAACAGTCCAGCTTGGAAGCTAGCCCCAGTGTTATAGAACAAACTTCGGAAAATCAACCTTTTAGACATGCATGATGAAGAGCACCATCGGATTGGACATAGAGTAGCGTAGTCAAGCATGGTGAATTTGTACAGCCACAGCATGATCAAGGATAAGGCTTTGGGTATCGGCAAAAATACTTTAGCTAAAGAAAATGAAATGGCGATGAAAGCACTGTTGAAGGAAATTCGTCCTGGTTATGCTTAGATGTATTCGGGTGTGCAGAGTGCACAAATTATCCTCGATACTGAGTTGAAGGCGCCTGGGGCAGAGATAACATGGTTTTACCCTAATGCAGACATTAATAATGGGGGCCAGGATGATTGCAACGATGGCCAGCTTAACGAAGATGGGAAGTTGAACACAGCCAAATGCTCCTCTTCTACGATACCTGGGCAGCACCCTCCCTACCTGTGGTTCAAGAAAGCAAATCATGTAATATCTACCCGTGATCTTCTGTGCTTGCACAAGTTTGTGTTCTTTACGGGAGATCTTGCTTCTTAGAGCTGGGTTGAACGTGAACCGGTTGAAGTAGTTGCTATTGGTACCCAGGATCTAGAAGACCTTGATGGGAAATGGGGTTAGCTTTGGGAGTGTAGATCGTAATGGCGCGGCTATAGTAAGGCCGGGTGGTATTATATCCTGGAGAAGCAAACTAGCTGATGGAAAAAATGTAGATAAACTATATGCAGATCTTACAAATATACTTAGGGCATAACCGACGTAGTATGTTATATCCTTGAATTTTCTTTGTTCTTGTTTCGCACAAAGTCATCTAGCCATTGAGTCCAGTATACGTGATTTAGTAACATATTTTATAAGTAAGTTAGCTAAATAAGCGAGTTAGCCACCCTACTAACTTTACATATCTTTATAAGCGTATAGCTCTACTATATATAAATAGTTTTAGTAGATATTAATATAATAGACTAATTACTATCTATAGTATCTTTCTTATATATATATATATATATCATAGCTAGTCTCTTTATATCTATTATATCGCGTTAAAGTCTAGTAGCTAATCCTTAATTACTCTTTAATTTAATACTTTTTATAAGTAATCTACTTATTAGCCTTATATTAAGTAATTATATTTTTACTAGCTTTCTTTATAAAGACTTTATACTTCTATATCTACTTTTTTTTATATTTTTTATACTCTAATACTACTATATTAGCTCTTTTAAGGCTAGTATTTTAATTATATATTAACTTAGCTAAGAGGATTATTATTTAAGCCTTCTTATTAAGCTAGTTAATTACTATAATAATAAAAGCTAGTAATAAGCTTTAATACTATTAAATATAATTATATATTAATCTTAATTAAGCTTTAAGCTTATATATATTA